ATGTATATATATATATATATATATATATGTATATATATATATATATATACATGCTTCTCTGTTTAAATTCTGCCATAAAAAACATAAAACACAACTTTTGGTAATCGCCCGTGAGTGAAATATATTCCGCTATTTGTATTATATTTCTGTTTTACTGGAGGGCTCCTAAAACACTGATATGTCTGTCATTTAAATCATCAACAAATGGAGTTATTTACACATGTAACATTTTTCTGTGCAATAGGGTGTGATAAAAAAATGTCCTAATTGGGATTGACTTGATAATTTTTTTTATAAATACAAGTCAATACATGCATAATATATATGTACAATATAATACTCTCTAAATATAGAAATATATGGAGAGAGAGAGAGCAAGACACACACACAGAGAGAGAGAGAGAGAGAGGATGGAGTGCCTGGGAAAGCTGGGTAATTTACCTTGAAGTCCATATGATTACAGGGTCTCATTTATAGTTATCCATGCAAATTTATATCTATTAAATAGCAAGCACTGGGCCCATAACCCAGAGGTTGAGGTATCAAAACCATCCTCTACTAGGATGTGCAAATTCCCTCTTTTGAGGTATGATGAAAATAGTGTTCAATAATTTCCCCAGCGCAGGATCAATGAAGTTCAACCTAAAACTTTAACGTGCCATCAGATACAATAGCCGAACCAATTTGCACCCCAATGCATTTTATTGTAATGAGGGCCGTATCCCACTAGAGGGCACTGTAGTTTGCAATACAAAAAGGAAAAAAAAAACTCCTTTGCAACCGTACATGTACTGCAGCATTTCCATTTTTAGTTCCCTGAAACTGTCCTAAAGTGGCACGGCACCGGCTCCCTCACATGCTGCACACATGATCACTGGACCATGAACCTCTCATTAAACTGTGCACAGCTAATGAAAGGAATTGAGTCATCAGCAGTGGCCGGCTGCCTGCTTTAACCCCATGCCCGCACCATCGATGGCGTGGATGTTTAGTCTGTTCCTCAGTTAAAGTGCTGTTTGTGTTCTGATGCATAAACGTTTACCGTTTACGTAGACCTTTTTGTAGTGACCTTGCAGTGACAGTGACCTTTTTGTAGTGACCTTGCAGTGACTAAACCCCAGACAAAGCAACAGTTTTGTTTGTTTTTTTACAGCCACATCCTGCTTTCATGGTAAGGCAATATACTGTGCTGGGACTTTGTTGTGATGGATTAACTGTGGACTGCATTCCATATTATTCAGCCTGGCCCGATATGACTGTGTTATAAAATGTTTGATGTTTTGGGTCACGACAAACCACAGTGTGAGGCTCATTAACTCAAACATAATCGCCTTCATGCTATCAACCACGACTAAACCTCTTATGTCATGAGATCGTGGGCGGGTTCAACCATCAGAGCTTAGCTGGAGCTTATAGACCATACAGAGTCTGTAAGTGGTTTAGATTCAGAAATACCACGAATAAAAAAATATTTGACATTATGTGTCAAAAACTTGTCTAAATGTTTTGACGTAACGTGTGCAGAGAGGGTTTGGAAACCTACGTTTACTTTAGTTTAGACGTGAAAATCTAAACATAGAATGATTAAATACTCCTTAAGATACACGGTATGTAATATCCTGGTAGCAAAGCATTGCAGATTGTGCAGGCAGTAATATCAGATCAGGTGATCCCAGACTATAAATATATATAGTCACATTTGATTTAGGTGTTTGATGAAAACTATGGATCCAGCCAATGACTTTGGGTTCGTACCATGACCTGTTCTACTCACTGATATACAGCCAGAGTCACAAATATGACAAACTACACAAATCATAAAGTAGGGTGAACGCAGAACCCAGAAGGATAAGTCAAAGTTCATCACTAAATCAGCCAGTCAACAAAATCCATGGCGTCCTTACTTACCCCGACTCCAACAAACAGCAAACGAAGGTGACCCAGTTCCTTTATAACACCAATCCGTTTTGTCACGTAACACCTAGAAACAGTAATAAATCATTCAGATAACACTGTAAATAAAACACATAAACAATATA